AAAGTTAATTAAAAAAATTAAAAAAAAAAATGTTGTGTTATGTATTTTCAAGCTTACCTGTGGTAGTTGGAGACACTACAAATGCATGAACAAATACACCCTGTATAATAAAAGGCATTTAAATTGCTCAAAATTGACGTACACTTTGCAATCCTGAAGGTGGAAAATCAAACACTACTTAATGTGAAATTTAACTTGTTTTATCTTTTGCCAAAAAGATAAAGAAGTTGTTCAGCCGGGCAATAAAAGACGATCATCTCGCAGTGGTCTGACTGAGTATGAGAGAAAGGTAACTTTTTCTTTTGGTTGCAAGTTCTCAATACTACATGTTAGGTAATAGAGGACTGTTTCTGTATCTACACAGCCTCTTTCAAACACATTGAAATGTAGAGTAAACAAGGGTTTATAAGGTACTGTAATGCTGAAGAATGAATGGAAAATGTGGAATTAAAGTACCACTCACAAAATTTATTTCACAGTCATGGTTAGCAAAACTGTTTTTTTTTTCCATGGCATTTATTATGTTATTCAGTTGTGTATGCCCAAAGGTAACAAGGTTTGTTGGCCCACTGAATAAATTTGAATGTCAAAGTGCTAACTTCTTAGATCTGAAAGATTATTTTCTATACAGATTTCAGTACATATCTTTGTTAGGTGGTCATGAAGATTTATTGTTTATTCTAAAGTGTTCCTCAACTGATAATTATATTACTAGGGCTGGGGAAAGGGGAAGGGAGAGGGGCTGTCAAACTTCAGAAATCTGCAAGCCATGTTAAACTTGAGGTTTGCTCAGTCCTTTTTTTTTTTTTTTTTTTTGGTCAGTCAGTGTGAGAGTTTACCAGTAAACTAGATTTTTTGTCATTCAGGCTTGTGAAAAGATTCTTCTAGAGCTGTATTGTCATGCAGAAAGTATTCCATTTCAACAACGAGTCAGTAAATCGGTTAGTGCAATTATTTTACCTACACATAAATTATTTATAACTCAAAGTAATTGATAAATAACCTGTTTTCTAGTCGCCTTGTCAAAATATTTACCTTGCCTCAGAAACTGATGGATGTAAGTGACTGATTTATACTTTGGTGAAGCAGACCCAAGACTAGTGATCATTTCACTTATGTGCATTTTACTTTTGAAGGTTAATGAAGTAAGCATTGATGTGAGCTCAGATTCACTTACTGGTACTTGGTCCTTCCTTCTCTCACTTGTTTTCTGAAAACAATAGGCTCAGCTCCCTTAGGAGTTTGTTCAAGGCCACTGACCATGACATTAAGTTCAGGGACTAAAGATTTTCCTTAATCTCCCTAAATGATATGTAAATGCACGTGGCTGTACAGTTCATCATTGTTTAAGGAGAATTTGTCTCAAAACAAATGCTTCTTTTTCTACATGCTATAAATCACAACTTGCTTTTTGCCATTTCTTTTAAAGGTTCCTAATTACTATAAAGTTATTTCAAAGCCAATGGATCTTTCAAATGTTCGTGCCAAGCTTCAAACTCAAAACTTTGCTCATTACCAAAGCTTCAGTGAGTTTGTTGCAGATTGCCGATTAATCTTTGACAATTGTGCAATATTTAATGAGGTAAGTGTCTATTGAGTATTGAGGAGTAACTTATGGCAAAGTCATTCTCTCATCTTTAAGGGGTCCAAAAATTATTTGCTCTCAGGGCGAGTCAATTGAATAAATATGTACCATCAATCCTGTAGGGAAATGACTTAGCTACTTAATTTTAATGGAGTGGTATTCCACCCAGAGAGGTAAGGACAGTTGAAATGCCACTGGTCAGTTCATGCTATGAAAACAGGGACAAACTTGGCAAGTGTTTTAACACTTCACTACCTCAGCATATATGTACAGCATACGTGTACATTGAATTGTGAATGCTAACAGAAAGCAAATGGGTTGATGAAAGCTAAGCATATGAAATCCAATACAGTTGAATTGACGTAAAACCTACTTTGTAAGGTAAACTACTTCTAGACTGCAGTTTTCGAGGAGGGGTTTATTATTTGCAAATCCCGCAGAACTGTTAGTGACTTCCTGACTTTATTATGTTTTTTCAGGCAACATCTGAAGTTGGAAAAATGGGTCACAACCTAGAATTGTATTTTGATACTTTACTAAAAAAGTACATCCCTGAGTTTGTTGAGGCAACTGGAGAACCCAAACCAAAGAGGAAGAAAGATGAAGCTCGCATGTATATCTTGAATCCATAAGTTAATTATTTTGTTAATGAATATGAGATGTAATATACTGGTGGTTGTTAGAATTGAACATCCAATTTCCCCTCATATCAACACCAGAAAAGTTCCAATGTTTTTGGCTGTTTTTTAAAATAATTATTATTACTATTGATTCTTTGGCCAGCTTTGGTCATTTTTATCTCTTAAACTCCCAGTTTAGGTTACTCTCTATCATTTCCTCAAAATATTATTATACTATCCAGTAAAATGGAATTTGTCAAATTTATTAGCTGGATGGTGTTGTGATGTCCTAACACCAAATTAATTTAACTAATCCACAGGGAAATGGAAGGGGGTAGAAAGGAGAATTAATGATCAGATCTTGGGAACTGAAGGTTAATTCATGAAAAGCAACATTTACTTGTCATGCAGTCCTTCTGCCAGCATTTTGTTAAGTGTAATAGCTTTCCAAGATAAAAGGACAAAGCTTGTTTATGTACATGACATAAATATTGAACAGATGCACTGTGTGTTATTGGAGAAAATCTAAGCATTTGAAATGTTACTACGTTTCACTGTTAGTAAAGAGTATTTGCAAGTCAAATTGTCGTTTATCTGAATTCAAGGTAATAAATTGTTTTTGTCGAAACAAAACAGCTCAGTTTTTTAATGTTTATTGTAACCTCATGGCATACTCAAACATGCACAAAAGAATAGTTCAGAGGTAAAAAATGAAGAGTTGTAAACAGGGGAATACTAGTTGTTATCAGTATTCTTTTTTCAGGTTTTCAAATTAAGGGTGATAGCTTGAAATAGAAGGAATAAAGAGGAAAACTAATGCAAGATCATGTAAAAATACATGTAATAATTAGATAATTCACTTTTCTGTATTTTTGCTGGTTACAAATCAGATCAAACCAAAAGCTCTGGCGAATGAACTTGAGCTTGGTTGTGGTATGATTGGTTTGTCTTCAGTTTGTTTGTTTCAGGTGGCTCAAAACAAGTCCACTCTCTTTTAACAATGCACTGATTGATAAATTATGACAAATATAATTTTTATTAGGTGTTTCATAAGTGCATCACAAATTTACAATCATTGGCAGACAAGTCAAGGTAGTTTCCCATATGTGGGATGACACAGTAGTAGAAAAATCATTTATGACTTTAGTTTTGAATCTGAACTTAAAAAAAAATATCACTGAATGACAATTGCACATTAATATTCATTAGGATAGGGAAAAGAACACTTGTGGGGTTGGTGCAGAGCCACCTACAGACTCTATTTTTCCATTAATGTTAGTAATCAGAGATGTGTCTGCATCTACCCCATGCAGTTGTATGCTGGGTGCAGGTTCATTTTACAATAAATCTACATCTACAAGGTCCACTAAATACATTTGTCATTATAGGACTGTGCAAATTGTGAACACTTTGAATTGAATTTTACTTGTCAGTGGTACTCTGAACAATCACAGTAGAAGTCAGGAAAATGTGATCAAATCTGAAAACCAGAAACTAACTACTGTTACTACTTATGATTTAGTCTTCACAAGTCTGATTGTCTTTTTCCAGTAACACTTCATAAATAACACTGATGTTCACATTCTTTCAAATTTCATAGCAATTCTATGGAGACTATATATATATATATATATATATATATATATATATATATACACACACACACACACACCACACACACATATATATTATATATATATATATATATATATATATATATATTATAAATAGTTGTGAAATAGCAACTGGGCATATATTTTTGTCTTCAGACTAGTTCATATTGTATTGCATAAGAATTACAATACTGCATACATTACTATATAAAGGTTAATTTTAATTTATGTATTATTACACAGCTTATGGTTGTGTTTGTGGTCAATCTATTGTTGTTGAGTGGGATCTTTACTTTAAAGTATTCAATGTATTAGCTTGTAATGTTTTAATGTTTACATGTTTGTCAGGTCAGTGCAGATTTTCCCATGCAGGCATAATTGTTAGATGTCTGCTACTTCTATCATTTAATCAGCAATTTTCCCAGCTTGTTGTCCAACTCAGGTAGAGTAGGCTCAGTAATTGTGCATTCTGGGGATGTCATATCTCAGTGATTTTTCCTTTGTAAATAAAGTTGATGTAAATTTCAACACCATTATCAGATCGCAAAGCATTGGTATACAATGTCTAATCCAAACATCTTAAATCTTTCAATGGGTAGATGTTAAGCCCTTGACTGTAGAGACCCCATGTTCGGAAGTCAAGTAGGACAGAGAAGCTAACACTCAAAGGACCAGGAATACAATGACAACTGAACAAAGACTTAGCTTACATGTTTTTAATCCTGATTATATCTAAATCTTCAACAGTCTTTAGTTGTTCAATGGCCAACTCTGAAGGAACGTTCTTTTTCTTCTGTTTTTTTCTTGTCTTTTATTTCATTTAACTATTATTGGTTACTATTATTTCCCTTTAACACTCAAACTGTAGCAAGTCCCCCTCCCCTCCGGGGAAAATGGATTCCCTTTAAGGGTGAGGGATTGCCTGCAAAAAACTAAATCAGAACTGCAGATTTTCAATTGCAAAATTCACTCTTCACAGTCTTGTCAAAACTTCTGATGATTGAAAATTTCAATTGCTATGGTCCAGTTTCGACAAATTGTAAGTTCATACTCCTCTTGGATGACAAGCATTCTATTAGCTATTGTAAAAATAGTTTTTGTTTGGGTCAAAGAACAATGCAACCGAGAACAGATAATTTAGGGGAGGTTTGATCTGAGTTAAAAGTAACTGGAAACAGAGACTCCAACCAGAAAACTTTTATTATTTTGTACAGTTGCATGAATTTTTACGCCACTAAGACGCAAGCGCCTCCAACTTCCTTGATCTTTTCTTCAGCTCTGCGACTGAAAAACTTTGCTTTAACAATCACTGGCTGTTTGGGAAGAAGACCCTTGCCAAGAACCTTGTAGTAACCCTAACAGAAATCAACAACAAAATTCTGTGTTATGTTTAAGGTGTTATATAACAAAATTAAATTTTTCTCTCTTTTTTCCTTCCAACCTTTGTCCACTTGTTCATAATGCAGATGGAGAAATATGGGATGTGGATACAGAAAATAATGGTCAAATTTACCACACTTGAAAAAAAATACATATATATTTCCTACAGATTGACTAAAAACATTTTTAAGTTGAAAAAATTTTGAGAAATCATACATCAAATAGCCTGCTATGAAATTAAGTTCACCTCTTACATTGGCATTATGTGCAGCCAAATACTCAAAGGACCACTTTGTACATTATAAACACTTTACCACTTTGAGATGATCAACATGATCATCTATTCAACAGAACCATTTCCAGAAATCAAATCAGAGTACACAGACTTATTAGCTAGGTGGGGTGATATCTGGATATAAACTAAATTCTCCTTAACTAATAATAATGGAAGGAAGAATTGATAATCAACTATTGTAAGTTGATGGGTTTCAATGAAATATTGACGTCTTATGATACTTACAGCTCTGACAACATCAATAACTGGTGCTGGTCCATCAGTCTTGTCCTTGTAATACATTCTGGTTTGCTCACTGACAAGGGACCACAGTTTATCCAAATTCACAGTTGGTTTGTGATATTTGTTCATTGTCTTGTGGAAGTAACGCATACCCACTTTACCAAAGTATCCTGGATGGCTGTACAGTGAATAATTAAATCTGTTTAGTCCATGTCAAATAAACCATCCACGCCTTTCACATTTATGTTTTAGTTTGAACTTGTCAGATGCTGGTTGGTGCAAGTTCCTTTAAAATATGCATTCAACATGCCTCCACTGATTACAAATGTTGGAAGTGTTGAGATAGACCTCTACTACAATTACTGGTATAACAAAATTATTTTCAAGTAGTAGAATAATAACAATGGGAGGAAACAAGACCCATGTAAACACTTTCAATTTGCATTCTACAAGCTTCCAACATTTTCACCACATTCAACAGTGTTGAGAGTTGTGTCTCAAAACTCCAAACATTTTTTTCAGGCTATGTCAACTGTCAAACACAATTGCCATAAAAGTTACAAGAAAAATTGCCCAATGTAATCGGGCTTCTTAAAGTCACTTATCAATTACAAGATGAATCTCAGTTTTCAAATACATCAGCAAATTGTTATCAAAAAATAACAAACAAAATGAAGACATTTGGTAAACTGGACATTAAATCTGATTTATTCTGAACTCTATGTCATTTCAAAGAATGAAATTAATTTTTATTGGCCCAAAGGTGCCACTGTCAGAGACTTTTTGACTTCCAAAGAATCAGGGTGAAATCAAACAGGGCAAGCCTCCATTGAGAAATGAACTCACTATTTGTCAAAATTAATCCTGTGATGATGCTGTCCTCCTGCATTTCCACGGCCACCAGGATGCTTTCTATGCTTTCCTACAAACAAACCACGAGAAAAAGGTCTTATGTGAGTCATATGTAAAATTAAAATTGTAAATAGTAGCATATAATCACATACAATTCAGTAAAAACTGCAACACTTCCTACGGCTACATTGACTCAGATCTAGAGTCTTTCCATGAATTCGACCAGCAAAAATATTTAAAAGGCTTATGAAACTTAATATAGGAACAATTCTATAAATTGCAGGATTGTCAAGCCAGTACACGATCTGGATTAAAGTTAAAACAAGTGTTTATGTTCTCCAAGTCTTTGTTTGACTAGAATCGACTTTAAAAATGTCTCGCCTGTACAGAACTCGATTAAAGAGAATTCATAAAAAAGAGTCATGGAGCTTGATTGAATTTGAGGTTAACACAATGAGTATACGAATACCATTAGACGTGAAAACATAGCACTATTTTCTACTCCAACTGTACAAGTGATGTCCAAAATTTGAAAAAAAATCCAGGGTTTAAATACACAGAGTAAATGACTTGCTGATGTTTTATGGCTGCCATTTACTTCTTCAAACGTTTTCACTCACCAACACGACCATGACCGTGACTCACATGGCCCCGCAGTTTTCGAGTTTTCTTTAGCCGAGCAGTCTAAAACCAAAGATATGAGAGGCGGTAAAAATACCCCAAAGTTACACAAAACGGGGACGTTACGAATAAACATTAAAAAATGCTTCAATCTTCCCGTGACATACTACATAGTTTAAAGAATTGACGGCGATGAAAGACGATGGATTTGGATAACTTTAATTCTCAGATACCCACCATTTTGGAAAGGGGATGAAGAGAAAGGACGTTGTGCGCCTGCGCTTCAAATAGCACCCCCTGATTTCCCTGTGGGAGGAGAGGGTTGGTCTATTACGTACTGCTAAAGGCTGACACAACTGTTCTGATGTCCATGGCTAGCGTTTCCAATGAAATTACCTTTGATTTCAAAAAGAAGGCGCACCAGTGGTGTAATCAGTACTTAGGAGGAAGCTGGAGAAACATATCCATAGATGATTTTTCCATTCAAGTGTTAGGGTACGAGCTTTTATGCTATTGTTTTTTATGAAGTCTTTCCTTTAATAAGTACCAACGCCGATTTGTAAGTGTGTACATAATCAATCAACCATTCATTCTGCGGTCTCTATTGGTTGTTGAAGAAGCCTATATTAAAACAATTGATTACATACTGGATCACAGGCGAGGTATTGGAGCTACAAGCTGGTGTCTTTGGCGAAACATTTTATTCAAAGGTCGAAGTCTAACGAGGGTCAAGTTACACGCGTCTCTTGGTTAAATTTAGAAGGAAAATTGTTGCTTTCTTCACCTTTACTTTTGATCTGTTAGCAGTCTATTATTTTCATTTTTACGGAGAGAGGAGTTCTTACGACGAGTGCGTTTAAGGAAGCACGTAGCCGTGAATAAATTATTGAACATTCTTTGTGATAAAGCCATCCCCGTGGAACCTCTCCAAGATACACACCAGCTACTTTAATAATTGTTTATTTATAGAAAATCCAAATGCGTTTACTTGTATCCAAACTATTAGTAAATTCACAGGAATCGTCTTCCAGAATTGATTAGTTAAAACTGAATTGTGCATTTATTTTTACACGTTTTTAACGAGAGAGATTTTCCTAAGTGTAACCAAGTACATTGGCGAAGCCAGTCTAGGCTTCTTGAGCAAAGGGTGCTGCAAAGCTCTTCAGCTCTCCTTGGAGTCTACATCGACCAGTCCTTAACATATAACGATCATGTTGCTAAAACTACTTCTAACTGTATTTTCAAACTAGTACAGATTAGCAGGATTAAACACCTCTTGGACAGGAAAACCCTTTTACTTTTGATGAACGCTTTTGTTTTTAGTACAATATATTATTGTTCAACTGTATGGGCTAACACATCTCAAAGAAATATAAAGAAGCTTCAGCTAGTGCAGAACTTTGTATTGTATTAGGTTTTAAGAAATTTGACCACATCTCCCAAGGCATAAAATCTCTTAATTGGCTCACTGTTGAGGAGAGACTTTATTTTAACAATGCTGTAATGGTATTTAAATGTGTAAATAATTTAGTTCCTGAATATCTGGCTAACATGTTTGTCCCACGATCTCATATTCATAGTAGGGTAACAAGATCATGTAATCTGCTCCACATCCCACGATGCCACCTGTCCTCTGGGCAACGTGCATTCACATATCGCGGATGCAAATTGTGGAATAACCTCCCTAATGACTTAAAAGCAGCTGAGAATGTAAAGGCCTTTAGGCTCTGCCTACCGAATGCACTCCTCAGTGGAAATGTCACACACAGATGAATCATTTCAATCTTCTATTCTTGTCTAATTTTTGTTTTAGTTCACTAGTGTTTTTAACGTATACTGGCCTTTTGTATTTATATTATACTAGCCTTAGTTTTCACTTATATATATTTTTAGGCCAATACAATGTTACTATAATATTAAAATAATTTTAATGTAGGTTTTGTAACTGAAAAACCCAGCTTGGGAGTTGCAATAAACGTATGTATGTATGTATACATATATATATGTGTGTGTGTATGTATGTATGTATATCATGGCATGAAATGATGTGCTTTTTTTTTAGAGGTGGCCTGAGCAACAAGTTATACATTTGTTCCCTCCCCGAAAGTTATGGAGTTGGGAAAGAAGAGAGGAGAAAAGTTGTCTTGCGCATCTATGGTCCGCTGTACGATGAACTTGTCACAAGTATTGGTTGCCTAATTGCAGATTCGGTTGTTTTTGCCTTGCTTTCAGAATGGAATATTGGACCAAAGCTTTTTGCTATATTTCCTGAGGGTAGATTGGAGGAATTACTTATGGTTAGTGTTAAAATAGATAGCTTATCTATAGAGCAAGAAATTTATGTGGTGGGGCAGTTTTGACAATCACATGGACCTATGATAGACTGTAGACAGTAGATGATAGAGGATAGATGATAGATGATAGATGATAGATGATAGATGATAGATGATAGACGATAGACGATAGATGATAGACAATAGTCGATAGTTGATAGAAGATATACAATAGCTGATGGACAATGGATGATAGACAGGAGACAGTAGACAATAGACGGTAGATGGTAGATGGTAGATGAGAGATTTTGTGATGGAACATGATCAGAAACTCAAAATGTCATGCAATCATGCGAATGTCACACGAAATCTTTCTTTTCCAGGATGTTCTGTTACTGCAATCAACTTGTAATGAGCAGTTGCTCATAGGGAATGGCAGGGTTACTGCGTAATATGAGTTGACAGCTTTATGTAGTTTCCACAGAATAGGGGTATAATGAAAAACAGTAAAAAACGCTATTTTTTGCCATGATGGGCCACCTAATGTAGGAAAACTGGCTTTTCAGAATACTTCTAGCAACAAGGCAAGTACATGCATTAAATGCAGATCAAATGTATTTTATACAAATCTTCATCACTTCTTACATCTACTGTCTATCACCTGTGTCTTAATACAAGCCTACCACTTGTTTACCCATTTCAGGTCTCAAGAGAATTCCCAGATTTATCTTTTGTAAATTATGCACACATATTAAGTAGGTGAATAAAAAGAATTTGGAAAGAAACATATCTCTAGATAGGGCCTTATTACATGATCTGAAAATGGTAAACCAAATATACAATCTAAATAGGCTCATTCTATATACTACTCAAGGTTAAGTTTCATTTTTTATGGATTTTGGGAGCATATGTGGCTGCTTTGTTGTACAAATTATAAAAAGACCAAATTTATTCCATGATGTTTTGAAGTTGGAGGAAAAATATAAATTAATTTTGTGAGAAAGAAGGAGTTCCTTGAGAAAGAGAGAGTTCTCGTGTTTAAAAAAAAAGGCAGTAAATTTTGCAGAAAGAGATAAATAATTTTCCCAAATACTCAAGAATTGTATTTGTAGAGGCTGGCTGTAATTGATGGGGTCAGAATTTCTTAGATAACAGTAGTGTATTATGGTCAGTGGTTTGTATTTTAATTGTTTTTTACTTGAGCTCATCCATCTTAGGTAGGATTATTGAAACAGTCAAGAACCACAAACCAGTTTAAGACACTGGAAAAAGAAAGTCAGTGGAGGATTATATTGTATTCAGATAATTTTTTTTATATACACAGGCAAAAAGTCTTGCAAGAGAGGATCTGGCAAAACCTGAATTGTCAGTGAGAATTGCACAGAAAACGGCGGAGTATCATCAATTACAACTACCCCTCTGCAAGGATCCAGATTATTTATGGAACACAATATCTGAGTAAGAATTTTGCTTTGCATCAAAATCAGCAGTGTTTTTTAATTTATATTTATTTATGGTTAACCCTTTACTCCTTAATATCATTAATCATATTCTCTATACTGTATTCTATACATTTCCTAAGGTGCTGACAAGGAGAATATCAATAGCTTCTTTAGTTGGTGATCATTTCCTCTATTCTTGTGACCTTTAGTTAATGTGTTTCAGGGTTGATATTGTTAGGAGACATTAGGTGTTAGTCACTTGAGGGGTCAGAGGGTTAAGGTATTTACAGCTAGACTTCTGTTGGTTTCATTTACTTATTTCAAGAGAATTAACTGGAGTTTGTTTGTAATTTGGCAGATGGAGCAAAGAAGCTTTGCAAACACATTTTAATGAACAAGATAAAGCTGTGAAGTTGGCCAAACTCAAAAGTATAGATTTAAAAAAAGAATATGATTTTTTAAGGTAACAAGTTACATAATTACTTACTTAAAGATATTCTAGAGCCCCACCTTTTTTATGAGGAAGGTCAAATAAATTTAGCAGAACAGAAACACCTCTCAGCTGCCTTGACACTATTATCTTCAAGCTGACAAACTGTGTTGGAAAACAGGTACAGACATCCAATTGACAAACATCCTAGTGCTCCTGTTCCACTTTTTTTCACTTTGTGACATGAAATTGTTCATTCATAATTGGATAGGGGAGGGAAAGGGCCAAAAAAAAAAAAAGGTGAAAATTAATAATCTAACATCACTAAGGGCTTTTTTACCACCATCTCTTCAATTTTTTTAAGTACAACTGTTAATAAAATAACTAAGATACTTAGCACATGCACTCTGATTACTACATCTGCTAAAGCTCTGGATGAGTGAAGCACTGAAAAGTTATTTTATAAAGACAAAAGACTGTTGTAAATCTGTTATTCTAATTTCATTTTTATAGTTGTTGTGATATCTTCCAGAAACTATTTAGAAATGGCAACTTCACCAGGACCAGTTACATTTTGCCATAATGATCTCCAACAAGGTAAATATATTTGGTAATAACCTACAACAGGAAAAACAAAATAAAAGGTGAATGTGAAAGGGAAGCAGTCCATAAGCATAGAGTTAGTAGAGCTTGTGAATCCCTCGCCCTGCCCCCTCTCCTCACTCAGTTCTACCCCACCTTAGACAAACTTGTCTCATTGATTCATTCCTCATCCAAAACCACAGCCAGTTTGTAGGCTTACAAAACTGAAAACATTTCTATTTTTTCATCCTCTTTTCTTCTCCTCATCTTCATGTCTTTTTTCTTTTTCACCTCCCATAGTTCATATTGTATTTCGTTTTGTATTTTCAGTTCATATATATTCCATAGTGTATGACTGGAGTCTGCTTATTTATTTAGGCAATATTTTGAGAGTCTCCAAAGAACTGCAAGAAAATAATGAAGAAGATTTTGACTTAAAGCTGATAGACTTTGAATTTAGTGCCTACAATTACAGGTAAATCTCTCCATATGCAATATACAAGCCCTTTGGGAAGGCTATTCTAGAAGTCATTTTAAGTGCTCAACAGTAACATTTAATTGATATGATGTCCCACCTCTCATAACAAACTTCTAGGAATTCTATTTGTACCTTAGACCAACATGACTCAACAACCTTACCTGAAAAGCTGAACCATCCTTCAGTGTATGAGCTGCAGCCTTTATATATCAATTATCCCCAAATCCACGCCACCCACCCCATAGATAATGCCATCAGGTGTTAAATGTTTATAACCTCTTAACCTCAAAGTCAATTAGTTTTCTGAGATTGGTATTATTCCTTTCAATCAAAGATTTCAAAAGTATTTCTCATGAACAAAGCCAGACCATACAACATTTTTTGTACAGTCCTGAGAATGGAGTTTTTGTCCCAAGATGATGATTTGTGAGATTCTCATCACTTATTTACAAGCAGATTCTGCAAAATGAAAGAAGATTGTACAAATTTAACACTTTGAGTATCAGCTGGTTATCTTTCTGTTTTTATTTCAGGGCTTTTGACTTAGCAAACCATTTTTGTGAGTGGATGTTTGACTACTCTGTTCCTCCTCCACAATACTTTTCCATGTCTCTTAAAAGTTGGCCCAGCAAAGAACAACAGGTGAATTGGCTGCAAACCTTTATTTGGTGCTGATACCAACTTTGCTAGGTTCTGTTGGTTCTCAGTGACTTTTCTTGTTTTCTGAGAGGAAATTGGAGACTGAGGTGTGACTACGGTTACTAAGGCCCCTTGTTCCTGTCTCTTTGTCTATTCTTAAAATCACCCAGGGGCCAGCAGAACAATTTAATTCAAGCAGAGTATGGAAACTTATTCCACTTTAAAGAGATACCTTTACTTCACTGGCAAAGTCTAAGCGTAAATGCCTCTTTCACCATTTAGACAAAAGTGGCTACAGATGTTTCCAGGATTTCACAAAAGCCCCCATCCTCCTCCCCTCCCCCCCTTCCCATCAAAGCGGGTGCAGTGTGACATGAATTCCTCAAAATTTGCAAGAGCGACTTCACAAATACAGCAGTGGACTTGAGCCAAAGAGAACACTGCTGATTATTTGTCTCACGGGTACATCTTATCAGTCATGATATTTTAGCTTTGCCTCATTTCCAACCCTCACGTGAACGTCCTTTATGTTTGTAAATGTGGTAAAAAGCTTGTGGTTGTTTATCAAAGTGAAGTACAGTGATTATGACGCACTATTGCTTTTCTCACGACTATGTTATTTCCGACCTTGTATGAGATGGTTTGAACGTTTACTGCGAGTCTTCTCAGTATGCTTGGTGTAGCAAAATTTGCTATACCAAGATAATGTGAGCACTAATTTTTGCTGATTGAGGTGGCCTTCAGTATGCATTAGTCTAGTGCTTCTCAGTGATCAAGAGCCGTTTTCCTTTATTTTCATAATTCTGACAGTTGATCTTCATCAGAGCGTACCTTGGAAAAGATACAAAGGAAAATAATTATACTTCAGCTGAGTGTACAATAGAGGAATCAGAATTGTTAGATCAAGTGAACAGGTAATGGAAACAACTCCTGGAAATCCATGTTCTTCTCGTGTGCGATAATGTTATGTAACTTGTTAGGAACATGAAACATTTTATGTGGACAAGAACTCTATGAGACGATTAAAATCTGGTTCGTTGCAGATTTGCCCTGGCTTCACACTTCATGTGGGGTCTGTGGGGAGTTGTACAAGAGCGATTGAACTCTGCCGGTAACGGAATCCAATTTAATTATTTGGTACGTTAACATTTTACTTGGGAACAAAACCTTTGTTGCTCACTTCGCTAAGATCCAATTTAATTCATATTTCCTTATTTTATTTTTTTATTTTTAGCTTTTGGGTGAGCTCCTGGTTGGGTTTGGTAAAAAAAAGGAAAAAACAATGGTAAATCTGTCAATCTAAACAAAGCGAGAAAAGCCATTCAGTTATAACGGGTTCTGCAAATTGATCTCACTTGACCAGCGTCAGACAAAGAATAAATCTTCTGTAACGATACGTACCTCAGTGATTGAGATTTAAATACTTTTGTTTGTTTTTTTGTCTCTAAGGATTATGGCTTGGCACGATTCGAAGCTTATCATCATCGCAAGAAAGAGTTAGGTCTCATTTAAAGACCACCATTATCTGACATATAGATGTATAAGAATGATATACTTCTAGCACCAATTTACGTATAGAAAAGTAAGTTATATGAATACTCTAAGGAAGTTATAATAATTGTCAAGATCAAAATTTTTTATAAGATTTACAGAATTTGTTAATGTGTGACTTTTTTCTTGTTCCCGTGTATGTAGACAGTATAAAAAACGCTCTCGTTTCTATACTTTTTAATGCTTTTCTTGAAATTATGTTAATATACATGTTTAAAATTGATTATTGTACATGGACATACAATAAGAAAGTAATATATCAATTATATTAAGATTTCTACCTCATAAAAAGGATAATGAGCGATATTTTAGTAGTTAAAAGAATTTGGTCTCGAAAAGTATCAAGGTTTTACAATGTGAAAGTTTGGGCCGATGGTAATATTCTAATGACTCAATTTTGCATGCTTTGTCAAATTTTGGTGTGAATTTGTTAGAGTTGGATCGTGTGATGTGCGCGAGGGGTGGAATGCAATAGAAGTTATATTAAGGTTGTTTTAAAGATTGTCGTAGTTATAGAGGAGGTCAGGGAAAACAGAAAAATTTCAAGGTGTCAGGGGTGAAGAAATGGAGAGATTCTTGTAAGTGAGTTTATGATTAAGATGTGGATGCAGATGTTATTTTGTGGTTTTCGTTTTGTCGCTCTAAAGGACTTAGTATGGTCCAAGCGAAAACAAAGTAATAGCCTTCCCTTAGTCAAACAAGATAAAAGGTAAGATTTCACCGAAATCTCGGTATAGCAAGGGTCACACAAGATCAAGCTGAGGGAAGATTTTTTTTTGTACTTGTATATCAAATAAACAAGCTCTTACAAAAATGTTATTCGGGTTCTCCCTAAGTGTATGACTCCATGGTCGAAATAAAGTCAACCAACCTTCCTTAATTCTTTACTGCTTGTTAGTGTTAATCAAACTATTTTTCTGTTCTCAACTTGCCGTTAATTCTCATGCTAATTTTGTACGTGCTCCTACGCGTCCCCTAATAGTATTCCACCTCCTACCGGATAAGGAGAAATTTTGAGTCGATTATTTTCCTTCAATACTTATCACTCTCCCCTTTAAAACCAGCCAGGTTTAGGGTTTAGTAAAGCGAAAGTTGTGCACTTTTCAGGATGTTAACTTTCTATATGGCAGGGCCCTTTGAACTGCTCAAGATAAAAAAGATAAAACTTGACAAATTGTATTTACTTCATTGAAAACATGAATTATTATTTTCATAGTGATATTGTAAAGCTTTCTAAGACACAGCAAAGTTTCTTTTGGGGCTTTCCGTCGGTCAAATAATCCAACCTGATGTGTCAGGATAGCCATTAGTATCTGATTAACAATTCGCTACAATTTGTTTACGAAAATGCGTCGGCAGCCTCCTCCTCGTGAGAGACATATGGAATTTACGTGAACGGATGTTTTCGTGAACAATGTTCACAAGGAGTCACATCCATAAATGTTTGAAAAATTCCAATTTTAAACACTTTTAGTTTCTTGCTTCCCAAACGAAACTGCTCTAGCTTCGGGTCATGTTTCACTAGATAATTAGCAGAGAAAAATAGCTTGCATTCCGCCGGTCTGTTCAAATTGCATATTACGCAACACATATTCCGTAAATGAATTGTTGACAAACTTTGCTACCGAGGATGAGGTGAAACAAGACAGACTATTTGAGCAGTCTGCTTTCACTATAAACTTTGAAGTTTCACAATTTTGCCAACATAAGACAAGTTTCAAAGTTCGTAAGCCGGTCAGCAAAGCCTCGTTCCGCGTGACTTGCGGTTGAGCTTTTGTCGTGTTCGTGTCGTTGTTACTCAGTTCACAACAGACTGATCAGCACATGATTAAACAAATCGATCTTTGGATGCATCGCAAATGCGAAACTAAATGTGCAATCCAAACTCACTGCTTTTTACCGTGTTGAACTATAACTTGAAGTTTATCGGGGATTTTTCTCGCGTTTAATGTATGAAGAGTTCCGTACAAACAGGACTCCGTCAGTCGCAATATTCGTTATTTTTGTTTTTACCCTCCAGGACCACCGAGTATACAGGTGACAAGTTCGAGTCTAAAATTTATCTATGGCAACTAATGCGTCATTCCGTCGGACTAATTCTTCGGACTTTGGTTTTTTTGTTCCCAAGGACCTCAAGAGTCAAAGTCTAGCGAGGGAAAGACCAATCACAAGAAGAAGAACATCCTTAAATCACGTGGACTGACAAAGAAAAACAATTTGCGACTCCCTTAGCCATGAAGTGTATAAAAGGCAGTGAGAATTTCAGACTTTCCTTCTCTCTTTCTCGTCTCCGTAACTGAATTACGTAATAAAGCAAGCTTCCTGGCTCATCGGTTTTTGGCGGGTATTTCGTTAGGTATAGTGAGGTATAACTAGTCAAGGTGAAAATTGACATCAAAATGTCCAACTTAACTGCCCAAGAGCTTGATGTTATGTTGAAAACACTGCGCGGAAACATTGACCAACTGTTTCTGATTGTCATGGGAATTCTTGTCTTTCGTGAGTATAACTTGACTTTTTTTTAAGGTCGTGTGCTTATTTGCATACGTACCGTAAAAAAAAAAAATGCGAGCTCCGCTTTTAGGCTTGGCTAAATCTATATGTTATAGGGTAATAGTTATGTTTGAGTGGCTCTGAGATTTTTTAGTTCGTCTTCACATTTAGAGTTGCGACTCTCTATAGGAATGTTCTTTTCTGAGAAAAGGCAGTTTTAAAAAACACCAACAATTTTGATATTAGTGAGAAAGGATTTCAATGTAGTTAGGATATGAGAATGGAGGAATAAACGCTAAATCAAAGCCAAGTTGCAAGGGTCCGGATAATTTCGCGGTCTTCCAATCGTAATTATCATATTTATTCAAATGCTCTACTTTAACAAAGTCAATCCGGAAAGTTTTGTCTACATTAATCCTTCTCAATCAATACTCTGTGCCGTGACTTCGTCACGTACTCTTACGGTTGTTTTGATTCCTCTCACGTTAGTAGAGAAAACTTATTTACTTTGATTTGCGTTTATTTGTTCATAACTGAGGAACCCCATTGCGGAAATCATCGACATTTTTGATACAGTTTCAAAGTTGGAATGTTTTTTAAAGAGTTTTTATCGATCAGTTGGCCTATCATGAGATATTCATTATGTGCTCAATGACCTTAAATAATTAGGGAGCTCTCTTTTAGACTGGTTTTTTACATTCTTCTTTATGATAATAACGATCTTTGCTCAATAACCTCAAGACGAATGTCAATAGTGCGCTCCAAACCAGATCTTATGTGCCATTTTGTGAGAAGAAGGCAGCTGAAGTGAGATGTAGGTGAATTATTCTCTGTGCAACATAACGAACAGAGGTATAACCCTAAGCAGGCAGAACATTTTGCATGTCAACTGCGCACTTAATACTGCCTTATTGTCTACTCTCATTGTTAGAGCTAAATGAGCTGGCATATAAATTAAGAACGTTTTAAACACCAATTTTTGTTTATAATTCGTACCAATCAAATATTTTACTAGCAGTTCAACCATTAAAAATAACTTTTGTCTACCTAATATTGATATCTGGTAGTTTTCATATCATCAAACTCGAACTGAAATTTTTATAAATATTTGGAAACCACCGCCTCGCATCTCAACCCTAACTGATTTCCTATCGAACAATGTCAGTGTCATTAAACTGCATCCCATGAATATCTCGAATGTTTTCTCTATGTTTACGGTTAGGCTCATCATATAACGGTTTGAGACAAATTGGTGACTGTACCTTCTTTAACGAGCTGGCCTCAACCAAATTGTCGCAACATCATTTCTGTGTAACATAGCGGCAAACGAAGTGCTATTACAAAGGACTGAAACCGTTGCTGAAGCACTGTCGGATTCAAGTGAATTAAGAAAAAAAAACGCAAAATAATTATATATGCGAACAATTCAGACAGAATATTGGTAGAAGTTCTAATTATAATCTAAACGACGATGTTACCAGCTACAACTAAGCACTTTTATATTGTTTTACTTGATCTTTGACGCATTGCCTTCTACAAACTCAAGTAGATATTGTTTGACGGGTGAATAGCACGGGCATAGCAAAGGCAAAACGTGACGAGTCATGAATATCTCAGCAGTGCAATCTCACCTTATTTTGCCCATGTCGTCACGGAGTAGATAGGGGGCGACCACTATTGCACACCTTTTTTTCCAACATAACGAACAAATGAACATTTATCGCTATCATCGCCGTTCAAGACCTGTCTTCTTGGGTTTTTTTTTTCAGGCTGGGCTGCACGCAGACAAATTATGAACAAATAAAAACGTGATGTTACTATCCTCTCTGGGTAATCCCGCCTCCTCGCTCCTCGTTTTTTCAGTCAAGTTAAGGCCGTGATTTCGAAACAATATTAATTATAACTGTGACATAAGTTTGTTTTTATTGACTGAGTTAATAATGTAAATTGGCCACCGTAAAGAGTTTCTAAAGCTGATGTTTTGAAAGTAAGCCCTTAGCCTCCATATCACTGAGAGGTTAGCTACATACAAAAATTCTACGGATACTAGGATTGACACCGGATTACAACAAATCTCGCTTTTAACAACCCAGCCGAGACGATCACAAATTCCTGAAACGGCCCAAAAAATGCACCATTAAGATAGTTTAGTTTAGTAATTCCTTATGTTTTTCTATTGAGTAGCTTTTGGAACGAAACAAGGGAGAGAGAATATTTCGGCGTCCTTCGTTAAAAAACTATCTTTGGATTCTGTGGCATTTTTTCTTGCAGTTATGCAGGCAGGATTTGCTTTTCTTGAAGTCGGTGCAGTAAGATCGAAGAACACAACAAACATCCTGCTCAAGAATTTCTTGGACGCGTGTAAGTACAAATGGTTAATCACGTGCTGATTAATCCTTCTACCAATTCAGTTTCCAGTCCCTTACACTAAAGTAACGGATTGCGTAGCAACAATTGCTATCACTGATTAAAGAATTATCCCGGCCTTTGGCGTTAGTAAAGTTATGCCTGCTATTAATTTTCTGTCTCGTTTCGATTGTTACAGTTATTGGTGCAGTGGCTTACTGGTTGTTTGGCTACGCCTTTGGGTTTGGAGAAAAAGGCAATGGCTTCATTGGATACAGCTATTTCGCGCTGGCAGATTTACCAGCTGAAAAATTCTCCCATTGGTTTTTTCATTACGTTTTTGCGGCTTCGACAGCAACGATTGTCAGCGGTTCTTTAGCAGAGAGAACTGAGTTTAAGGCTTATCTGATGTACTCTGTGTTTTTGACAGGTAAGTTATCCTCAGATGAAAGGCAATCATTCGAAAAAGTCAGTTCTTACTGATTAATAATTCCTAATATATTGACTACGTGTATTTTAACTCTTGTGGTTTAATTGTCTTTATGTAAATACTAATTCCCTCATCAGTTCACTTGTATTGAATTTACAACAATGAAGTGCTCGCTCTCTTGCAGGTTTTTTGTATCCAGTAGTAAGTCACTGGGCTTGGGATGTAAATGGTTGGCTGTTCATTGGTGCAGAGTACACGAAAGACAATGTTACAAGAACTGTTACATTCCAGGTAATATGACTGTTATACACCACATAACATGACTGTTATATACCAGGTAATATGAATGTTATATACCAGGTATTATTAATGTTATACACTAGGTAATATGACTGTTACATACCAGGTAATATGTCTGTCACATACCACGTAACATGACTGTTATATACCATGTAATATGAATGTTATATACCTGGTAATATGATGCTGTTCGTGGATCACCAAATTTCCGTACTAGTTTACTTTACTGTAAAATGATTTACGTTTCTGAGGGGAATAAATTATTTGATAATGATGCCATGTTAAACAAGTGTCAGCAATCTTCGCGAA